CTCTTCAACGTCAACCCCAGAAGATGGTACTAAATTAATATAAAAGGTATGTGCTTTGATACAAAAGAGAATAAGAGGCAGGACACCACGCAACAAGAGATTTCAGCCGAGCTCTGCAACAGGGTGAGGCTGCAGAGGATGAAGTCCCCAGCGAGAGTAACGTAGATAGCATTACACACTGAAAGGACCTCGACCTGTCTTGCAGACAGGTGGAGAGGCCTGGGGTTCAGAAATGTTTTGGGGATGGGAAAAGTGAGGCTAAAATGGATAATGAAAGATGCACATATGGACCAAGTGGACACACAGCCACTGTCCCCTGACCACCCTGTCTCGCAAACACATGTGGAAACGCAGATGACGTGACACAATCCATATTCCCTCCAGGCAAACAATCAGCCAAGTTCTCCTTAAAGCCACTGAATGTTCCAGAGAAAAGAACTCTCTGCTCTGGCGTTTAGAAGGCCCAGGATAATGGATAGCAGCCCCTCCTGACACCCCCAGGCAGTCTTTTATCTGAGAAGCCCCACCTGTGACATTTAGAAGGGTAAAATCCCCATGAAGAGGCATTTAGCAACAGGGAAGAAAATTACATAAGCATTTGTTCTCTGACCAGCAAGTCCACTTTCACGAAGCTATCCAAACAACCGATTGGCAAAACTGTGAAAAACACATGCCTTCAGCTGGTCGCTGCAACATGTAAGAGCAGAAGATGGGACCTAAAAGTCATCAATAGAAATGGGTTGAATCAACACTGGTACCTCAAAACAAAGGTGAGGTTTGAAACTATAAAAAGAAATAAGAATGCCAACCTTAAACTTCTATGAGTTCATCTCTGGATAACATTGTTAACCTTGACCCATGAATTATACAGAAGTGTGTTAATTCCTAGATGTATACAGATTTTCTGACTGTTTTTCTGTTATTGATTTCTAGTTTGATTCCATTATGGTCAGAGAATACACTCCATAAGATTTGTTTTTCTTTCTTTTTTTTTTTGGTATTGTTAATTGAAGTTTATTTGTTTGTTTGTTTATGGGCTACACTGTAATCCATCTTGATGAATGTTTCCTGGGCACTTAAACAGAACGTGTATTCTGTTGTTAGGTGAAGTGTAAATTAGATTCGTGTTTTCTACATATCTTTGAGGTTATTTTGACAACCTATATTTTCCAGAAAATCAGTATCATTGAGATTCTCAAAACATTGTTACACTGTAGCATATTTATGTATATGCATACATGGTGTTTTTATATTTATACAATACAGACAACTATCCGCAAACAGTATATACTTTATATTAGTGGCTTTGTACGAGTTGACCATGTGTATAAATGTGATCCTACTCTGTGTATCCTTTGAGGAGTGCTTTTCCACACTCAAATTTTGTTTCCCAAATGTATCCATGTTGACACGTAAAGATGGCTCATTGCTTTTAACTGCTGTGCACTAACCCTTATTGTGAACAAACAGTAATATTTTACCTACTCTCATGCTGTGTGAGTTATCATTACACTAGGAGCCTGGGTAGGGTCTGCAGCAGGGCAGCTGGCAGGAGTCAGCCACTTTCTTCTTCCGAGTCTTCACACCTCTGCCTACACACCAGCCTCCCCTCCCCCGTCCCCGCATAAACTCCATACTCCTCCCAGGGGCTCCCCTTCTTTTCTGGAATCTCTGCCTACAACGTTTCCATGCAAGCTCTTTGTTTACACCATGGGAAGCTTTCTCTATTTCTGTTTGAATGTCACTCACCCAACAGCACAAATGCTGCCTCCAAAACTCAGTCTTCCCTCTCCAGCTCTGTCACTGCATTTGATTTGAATCTCTTCGGCATTCTTACTTTTATTTTGCAGTTTGTGTATTGTCGGCACCATTCGGCATGTGTTGTGCTATTTTTAAGGATAAGGACTATGATGTATTCACCTCTGTGCTCCATTTCCCTCTGGATCTACTCAACTCCCAGCACTGTGCCTGGAACAAGCTGAGCATTTGATAAATATTTTGAATCCAACACACTGTGGCCTTTAAACAACTCCTAGAGAGCATTCCCATTTGGCTACGCATGGACTTCTTTGAGCGTGGAACAAAATTCCACAGGGCGTACCATTTTCCTGGAGAAGCCCTGCTGGAGCCAGGAACCCTGCAGTCCTGTCCCGGCTACACCCTC